AACGCAATTGCTAGCTCGCTCTTTGATGTCACAATTCCATCGTCCACGTACAGAACGACGATAACTATGAATCCAAAAATGACACCGATGAACACGCAAGGGTCGCTGTGTGTAGGAAACAACCCAATGCTTTTCAGGAAATCTGAGAAGGTCCTATTCCAGCATCGTGAGCTTTGCTTCAATCCATACAGGCTCTTGAGAAGTAGACACACCAGATCATCCCCGTCTATTTCGAATCCCTCTGGCTGCGACATGAAAATCTCTTCATCAAGGACGCCATTTAAGTACGCTGTCTTCACGTCGAATTGTTTGTATTTCCACCCATCTGCTGCTGTGAAAGCCAGAATGAAACGGATGGATTCAAAACGAGTCACCGTTGAGAAAGTTTCCTGGTAGTCAACCCCAAACTGCTGTCGGTATCCGCGCACGACGAGACGAGCCTTGAATCGTTCAATCTCGCCATTCATATTTTTCTTGATACTGAAGACCCACTTTGGTTCCAGAACTTTGGCGTGACGAGGTCTCGGTACGTATTTCCAAGTACGATTCCCCTCCAGGCTGCGCATCTCCGTTTTCATCGCTTCCATCCATTTTTCTCCCTCAGGCTGAGAAATAGCATCTTCATAATTCCTTGGAATTGTAGGAGATGAAGCCACGAACGATTGGTACTTTTTAGGAGGTTTGATCATGTCCTTTGACCTCAGTTTCCTGGAGGGGATCTCAATCTTCTTCTTGTCTGGGTCGTACTCATAGTTCCCCTCTGGAGTTTCGACCAGAATTGTCGTCTCCCCCTCATCATCTGCATCCATGAAAACCTCTTCCTCATCTGGTTTTGTGGTATGAGATGAAGTGGACTGGGATGATGCATCATGAATCTTCTCTTGCTGCTCCTCCTGCTGTTGCTGCTGCTCATTTTCATGTTTCGCATCATCCTCCTCTACCTCGTAACTGGTTCGGACTCCTCCGTCCTCAAGGAAGGATACATTCCTGGCTGGAACAACTTTCCTTTTCTCCGGAATGTAGACTTTAAATTTGCGTCCGAAGGTCCCATACCCCACTAGCTTGCCTATTCTTGCCTTCGGATCCGACGGGTCTCTGTCCTCCTCCGGAATTTGGGCGTAAGCTGTGCATCCAAATGTACGGACATGGCTCAGGTCTGGAGGCCACCCAAAAACTTGCTCAAAGGGTGTGCAGTTGGGTGAGTTCCGGTTTGGGAGACGGTTGAGTATGTACACGGCGAACCCCACGGCTTCCTCCCACATGCCCGGAGACTGTCCTGCCTTTATGATCATCGTTTTGCTTGCTTCCTTCACGGTCCTCATGTCCCGTTCAATTAGCCCATTGGTCTCGGGACAGCGAGGTGCGGATGTTTGATGCAGGATTCCTTGGTCACGGAAATAATCTTGCAATTCTCTGCACATAAATTCTCCCCCATTGTCGGATTTGAAAATCTTAATGTTCTTGCTGGTCTGGTTTTTGAACATTTTCAAAAAGTTGATGATGTTGGCAGCAGCATCACTCTTCTTTTTCAAGAAACACACCTGCCGGAAACCGGTCTTCTCATCCTTGAGGAGAAGAAAGTAATTTGACCCCTGTAGAGACGTGGTGGAGTCCTTGCCCGACAGATCGGCGTGGATAACATCCCCCGGCTGCAGGTTCTTATTCTTCTCCCTCTCTGGAAAAGGCTGTCGTGTCTCTTTCCCCAGATGACAATCCGAGCAGTGAAAGTCCGACGCAAGATCTTCCATCTTGATCCCCTCAACTGCCCCAACTTTCACTGCATTTTTGATGTAGCCCATATTGACATGGGCCAATCGCTCATGCCACAATTTCGTCTTGTTGATGGTGGCTGAGTATGCAGAGTTTTTCGGGACGCGGAAACCCATTACATAATTTCCATTTAGCCACCAAGCTTGAGGTCCTTGTTGCCCCTTGAAATAGTAAGTGGTCTTCCCGTTTTCTTTCACGATTTTGAACCCCTTCTGGTCCATGATCCCCTCGCTAAAGAGGTTCACGGCACCAGGAATATAGTGGGCGTTGTGGATAGATATGGGATACCACTCCCCCTGCACCCAAGCTTCCACTTGTACGGTCCCCTTCCCCAGTGCCCGGATGGAGGAGTTGTCCGTGATGCTGACAGGAATGGGATTCTTGAACTCTTTGTAGTCCGTCAGCCAATCCTTTCTTCCAGTGATATGGAACGAGGCCCCGCTGTCACTAATCCATCGGGTGCTCCCCTCTTCCATCTCATGCCCCCCCAGGAACGCTTGGCAATCCCCAGGACCCTCATTCTGCTTTTTGTTGTTTTTACGGTTCTGCTTGCGGTTGGAGTTGTTGTTATTGTTGTTGTTGTTGCACTTAGCCTCATCACCCTCTTCCCTTTTGGGTTTACGGCATTCCCTCGCCCAATGTCCCTCTATACCGCAGTTCCGGCACGCCCCTTCTCGTTTCTTCTTCTGGGGTTGCTGCTGTTGTTGCTGCTGGTTGGATTTTCCTTTTTGGAATTTTTTGTTACCATTTTGGGCGTTGAAGGCGATGTTGAACTGCTGCTGCTCCTCCCCGCCTTCACCGTTGGCCTTAAATGACAGTTCCTCATTTTTGATTCTTGCAATGAGATTTGCCATGGTCTGACTTGCGGCGTCAACGCTGCCCCAGGCCCTTTTAAACGCGTGAAACTTCGACTCGGGAAGAGACGATACAGCCTTGATGACCAATGCTTGTGCAGTCACCGGATTCCCCATCTCTTTAAGAGCTCTCGCCAGCTCCTCCAGTTCACCGCAGGCTTCCACCGCAGACCGATCTTCAGAAATCTTAAAATTGTAGAACCTGGTGAGCGTCCGCTGCACGTTCAGAATGCTTGCATCGGAATTTACTTCCGCAATCTTTTCCCAGGTAGTTTTTGCTGAGTCGCATGCATAGATATGCGCCATCTGACCTTGCTCAAGTAGCTGAACAATGAGCGAGCGAGCTCCCACGTCGTTCTCGTCCCACTTGTCCACGTCTGTTTGGTTGCTCCCATCGGTCTTGAGGGTTGGCTTCTTCTTCGTACCATCTATGTACCCCCAAACGCCCCCAGCCTGCAACGCCAAGGTGACCTGTAGCTTCCAAGGCTGGTAGTTATCCCCGTTCAACTTGGGAATATGAGACGTCTCAACTTTCTTCATGATGATGACTCTCTTCCACGCTACCACTCGAATCTTGATTACGTATCTAGTTACACACCACTGCTGCAACTTCACACTGTGTAAACTACTGTGTACTGTGTAAACTGTGTAAGTATGGAGCTGTGTAATTTGACGATTATTATTTCCCTACTCGAAGTAAGAATAAACGCGACGTTTTCGCGAAACTTGACGACTTTATCCTTAAACGCGAGTCTGGACAAACCAGTTTTGACGACAACGAGAAGGAGTCTCAGAAGAGTCTCAACTTTCCCGAAAAGTGAGAAGGATTAGCTAAAAGCTTTTACCTGGCTAATGCCCTCTGTTAGAGCATACCCAACCTCTCACTCTGTCTCAAAACGTAAAACTTGAGATAACTCGAAAATCTCAACTTGCCTCTTGTGCGATCGAAAACCACGATTAAGATACCATGTGGTAAATAATGAACAACGATACAACACGACGGTTGCCAATCGACTGATAATTTATTGTCAACATGCAACATGATTATATAGACATCATGAGTAATAGAATATGTATTAATAAATGTATGAAACTGTTCCTCACGACACTTTCCAAAGTGTCTGACCTAAATAGAAAGGAAGTGCTAAATCCTTCTCCCAAGAATGGGAATGCTAAGAATGAGCTGACACTGTACAAAGGTCCAATAAAGTCGGTGCCATAAACATCCGTTATGAAAGGCTACTTGAAATAGCTAACCTAAATACCTAATATTAGATCATTTTATCCAACACATGTTTCTGACAGTTTCTTGCACCTCGCATTTCGTGCGTTTCTTGCTTTGGAGAAAAGTGACCAAAAATGCAATTGGACCGTGTTATGACCTCTCCATTATGAAATTGAGATCGAGGTGGACAAATGAGTCACACCCTTTCCGCACGACCCATACCCTTGAGACGTGTAAGATTACTCGAATTTCACTGACTGAGCGTAAGTAGATACATATGTAAAGTAGTAAAAGTAATAGCTTGGTGGCTGGTTTTTGGTGCGGGTATCGAGAAGAACACGCCGCTTAAGTCGAGTCCATACGAGTTAGAGAGAGATACATATTTAGCTGGTTTGTTTGATGGTGATCATCTCGCTGAATATGATGTGGACACGCTTGACACTGAAATGAGTTGAGAGAGGAGTGATGAATATATGTAAAATACTTGCTACAAAAGCGTCAACTTGGTGCTGGTCCTCTTCTCGGAGTAGTAATTGACCTCGATGGTTTTTTCCTTATTACAGCATTATTTATGGCCAATCTGAAGTGACACGGCCAATTCTCACTGCTTCCTTACCCACTCCTCCTCCTCCTCCTGCTACACAGATGATGAAGACATGGAGCGAGTCGTATGGATGGATAGGCGTCGTCCCACTGTTCCATGTGTGATGGATACTCGAACTATTTATGCATGTGTAGTATTTTAGGCTCGTTTAGTCATTCTCAAAATCTGAGTCATTTTAAAGCGACCCAGAAAACCAGAATAATTAATGCACTTCATTTAAAGGATGGGATCAACTTGGACAGAAAATTGTGTTAAAGAGGTTTACATTTTTTTAGATTACTTTGTAATTTTGAATGAATAGATATACAGTTTAGTGCATGAAGTGTGAGGATGAGAGATGCAAAGATGAAAAATGATATAGTAATTACTGACTGATTAATGAAAATTCACGTAAAATAGGTGCGAGGATGGAGTCAAATACAGATAGTAAAATATCCGCTATTTCCTAACTGACAGACAATGATGTAGACTCTATTTTCTATTTTGATTTCTTATTTTTGTCACACTTGATGATCTTTGCTGATGAAAAACAGAAAACTGATACAGATTTTGATATTCGAATGAGACTTGTATTTTTCTAAATTTGGATAAGTCATGAATATAAAACAAATCGTAAAATGCACTTTAATTTTGTCTTTTGGAAGAATTAAAAGATTTTGACGCTTTAGTAGATCACAAATCTCGCCATGTTGTTGTGCAGCCTTCCGACGGAGCTTCTGATTTGGAAACTGTCATCTGAAGTGACACCGCGAGCCTGATTCGTCCCCGTGAACGGCGTGGAGGTCGACAACTAGCGAAAAAGGCAGAATTATCAGAATAACATTCGTGACAGGTTGCGATAGATTTTAGAGAGGTCATGCCCCCCTGTTACCCTTGACCTCATGTTATGACTGAGGGTCAAGACTCGTCAAAAATTCACCACATCTTTGAATGCCCGTATATTAAAATTATTTATCCCTACCCTGAAGGAGGTCATCCCATCCATCGTTCCATAGTGGGCGATGCAATCCGTCACTCCGGTGAGAAATCCTTGGCTTTCCACTCTGTAAATGGTGGTGGAATGAGGCTTGATTTCACTTTCGGGGAGATAGTCCCGTGACCAGATTCCAGTCGAGCAAGTCGTTTGCTGAAGCCTACACAATTTTTGTGTAAAATGTAATACATTGCAAATTTTAATCTCCAACATGTCATAAGTAAAATTCTTTTGTCGATATTCTGAATATCCGCATAATTTTGGAAACGTTAAACTTTTTTGTTCGCAATCCCAAATGAAATTTCCGAACTATTTTGTTCTCAATAATTTAGGATTTTTTACCTGAACGTTTCTCCCAACGTGTTGTAAATGATGACGAACGTGTATCGTTTTTCCGGAAATGAGGCAGTCGTAAAAATTTGTGGGAGTCTTCTCTGAGCCGTCGGCGTCAGAGGGGTGGACAAATTTGTGGCTAAACTCTCCACAGCTCGAACACGATTGGTCCTGATGATAGTTGCCTTCTCAGAAACTTGCCTGAAAAAGTGGGCGAAAATTAATAAACATTACGTAAACTGAAGTCTTCAAATAATACAAATTTTACATGTCGACCGGATCAAAATGAACAATTCTACTCGTGATTTTGCTCGTTTCCGTCATAAATTTTTCCCTCAAAATTTCCGGGACTAAAATCGTCGTTGCTTGATTCGGAACAATTAGTCCACTCCAAAACAAATACTGGAAATTTTCACAAATAAATTAACATAATTTTTAATGATTATGTAAACATGACGAATTCTATTCACCCCGTCTTGACTGTTGCGCATGTTGTTGAGAATGACGACTTCGTCCAGATTGATTGGCGTCACCTGCATGCCGATCAAACGTCCCGATGACTTTACGTTCATCTCTAAAAAAGTAAAACGCAAAAAAATGTGTCAGCCAATTAAGCATTTTTAAAAATTTCAACTAAATAATTACGCTTAGAGTTTGATTCTCTCATCAGCTCGTTGTGTTCTTCTTCCTCTTCTTCTACTTCGGGCATGGCGTTGATGATGTCCATCTTGGTGTTGTCGTATGATCCTCGTAGCATTGGCTGCTGCTGCTGCTCTTCTTGTTCATAAAAGAGTCGGCTAGGGATGAAGATATAGTAATCTCCCGTGTTGCTGGAAAATTATTACTTATTTATCAACGTGTCCTTAACTAATTTGATGTATTTCCTGCACTCACGTGGTTTCCCAATCCTCGCCAAACGTCGCAGGTTGATAACACACACGGCGACAGAACGTTTTATATTCAAGAAAACTCTTACACTGGCAAGCGTTCAGGTCACGAAGGATGGACATGGAGTAAAATACGGGGGCCATGTTGTGACTGCAGACCTCTGTGTTAAGAAATAAATTTGTATGAAAATTACTGCAAAATTATCTTGCCAAAAATTATTCGCACTCACGAAGTGGTCTCTGATTCGCAATAGCGACCAAGCAATAGGGCTGCGTTTGGATGGGGAGTACGCCAAAATTCGGGTAAAAATCGGCATCTCCAATTTTCTTGGCGATTCCGTAGGACCCCCAACTCGTGTGGATGATGTCGACGAAGTGGGCGTCCTCTTTGACCAAGGTGCGACCCGTGAGGTTGGGAATGTCGGCGTAAAACAGGGGTCCGGCAGGGTCCAGGCCTGAAAACATGGGTGCAGAATTTTTCAAGTTAATGATACTTTGTTATCCTGCCGTAGTTTTATTATGTACCCGTCAACCTCCCAATCGATTGGCCCGTTAAGCTTTGCACGGTGGACCCAGCCATTCCGGCGACATGGGCGCCAAGGGAGAAACCGATGACGTGGACCTTTTCGGGCGTGACGATGCCCAACTCTACAAGTCTGGCGATTAATTCGCCCACTCGTTTTCCCGCAGGCTCCACGTTTCTCGTGGCTCGGGTGTAAATCGGTAAAATTGTGGATTTCAAACTGCCGGCGAGTCTTCCTAAAAAATCAATTGTGAAAAGTGAAGAGATTGTATTAGTTAGAAATTGTGAAAGCAATTTTCAAAATTTAAATATTTTTACCCCAATCCACACAAATGATGTTAAACTTCTCATCCGTTTGTCTCATGCGTTCGAGATAAGCTGTAAAAATGAGTAAAAAAAATTGGCTTATCAGTTCATGCAGATTTCGAACGTATGTATGCACTCTCACCGTTCTTAATCATCGCTGGCATGGACGAATTCTGAGACTGGGTGAAACCATGGATTAGAATTTTAACTGGAGCATCCTTGTACCAATGGAGACTTTGGATGGAAGCACGATCGTAAAACTCGATTTTTTCGAATTGGTTGATCGCCCTAATTAAAATTTTTTAAATGAAATTATTATAATTTCATAAAATTGAATTATGGAAAAATAAATCTCTTTACATTGGGTTATTGTAGAGGAAGAAATAGACATCGTCCGGATTGTCGGATGGGCTAAAGTTTTCCGGTGGGTTGAGAAATGCTCTAAGATCTTCGCCAACGAATGGAACTGAAAATTTTCAGATATACTTTTTAAATCGACAATTTTTTTAAAAATAAAATTACGAAATTGTTATCCTCCTTCCTTACGCATGACATGATTTAAAAGTTGCAACTCGGAGGCCGGATCTGTCGCTGTGATGGCTGCGTTGACAATCCCGAGAAGTGGGATGACAATTGTCAAAAGTAGAAGTGGCCTCATATTTGTGTTATTTTTGACAAAAATGTGAGATTAATACTTTGAAAATATGGAGAGTAAAATGACAAGATCCTGTTTCCTTTTTATACTCGGATTTATCATTATGCAAATTAATGTTGGTGCTCAACATGAACTTATTTTTATGATAAGATGCAAAGCTCTGCTGAACTGTGACAAAGACAGTATTGTAATTATCTTCATGAAAATAACACATTTTGCACATTTCATTAAGTATTTTATCAAATTTCAGTTTATGAAATGTCACCATTTTTTCGTAGACATCGGGATCAAATGCATCAAGTCAAGTGAAACTGGTGAATGGCCTCATTAGGCAAAAAACGCCAAAGTCAGCAATTTTGCAGCATTCGATATCCATTTAATTTGCGCATCATTTATATATTTTTACATATTTATGAAAACTGTTTAAAATTCCGTTTTGTAAAAATGCGATGCATATTGCTGACAATTTTCTTCCGCATGCAACAAACTGATTAATCTTCCTAATGAATTAAATAAAGCAGTGTGCAAAATGTTTGCAAACATAATTTAGCAACTTGTGGATTAGGATTTGGATTTAGATTGGACTTTCAGCCCAAAACAGCAGATCACAACAAGCAGCAGTGGATGAACTTTGCGTAACATGAATAAATCCACCAACAATTTAAGTAATGCTATTTTGTGTCATATTTTAGTTACACCCACCACTGCAAAAAATGTAGCGACATGAAAACATGTGCAAAAATCATGCAAAATTTCACGATATGAAGCCATGTAATGCTGAAACCGGATCGGGGTGGATGAGAAAAGCGGTTGCACTGAACGTGAGCTCTGTCATCATCTTCATTTTTAGTTGTACGTGTAATCGTGATTCCGGTCGGGGTCAAAATTTTAATCACGACCATCTTTATGGTCCAGCCAATTAATCTTTAAATTAGTTAAATTAGTCGAGGGAGGGAGGAACAAGATCAGAAATTAGTAAACTAATTACGCAATAATGTTGAAGGCTGCGAACAAGGTGAGTAATCAATCCGAATTAATAAGAACTTGAAATAATTATGATATCATTTCAATTATTTATTTTTGCAGGGCCGTGTCGCCTTTATCCATCCCGACTTGGGTCTCGGAGGCGCGGAACGGCTCATCGTGGATGCCGCGGTGGGCCTGCAACAGCGCGGCTATAAGGTCACGATCTACACCGGATATCACGACAAGGGTCACGCTTTTCCAGAAACGACGGATGGCACGTTGAAGGTATTATTGCAAAAGTAGTGCATGTTTTGTGCTCGATAATAAAATATGTATCTATTTTTTTAAACTTTAGGTTGTCACAATTGGTCAAAATATTCCTCGCAGCCTATTTGGTCACCTCGTCGCTTTGTTGGCGTATCTAAAAATGAGTCTGATTGCACTATATATTTCACTCTTTTGCCACAGTGAGAGACCGGATGTGGTGGTTTGCGATCAGGTAATACGATCAGGTGGTTTGCAAGAGGGTTCAGTTTTTATTGACCAGTTTATCAGACTAAATAATTTATATTCCTTCTCTTCCAGGTTTCAGCATGCATCCCATTCCTCAAGGGTTTCCCAAGATTATCCCTGCACAAGGTTTTGTTCTATTGTCACTTTCCCGACCAGCTTTTAACGACGAGGGAGTCCTTTTTAAAGTCCTGGTATCGCAAACCGCTCGACTACATTGAGGAGAAAACGACCGGGATGGCGGATAAGATCGTGGTCAATAGCGACTTTACCAGTAAGTTTTATACGTTAGTGTGGTGGTCGGGTTTTAACATAAAATGTATCTTTTTGTCCATAACAGAAGGCGTTTTTAAAGAAACTTTCAAATCGTTACGAATCGTCCCTGATATTTTGTACCCTTCCATAAATTCCAACCTATTTGACGACCTCTCGACGTCGAAGCAACCCGTAAAGTTAGATATTCCGGATGCGAAACATTTATTCGTGTCCATCAACAGATTTGAACCTAAGAAAAATATAGCGCTCGCCATCCGCACTTTGAGTAAGTTGATAGATAATTAAACTAATCAAATATTGCGTTTGGGTTTCTGTTTAATTTAATTGTCGTTTTCTCCTCCACAGAGAAATTGAGAACCTGTCTCGAAGATGATGAATGGAACGATGTGCATCTCGTACTTGCCGGTGGATATGATCCCCGACTCCAAGATAGTGTCGCGTATCTGGAGAAATTAAAGAAAATCGTGGCCGATGAAGGGGTCGCTGATCACGTCACGTTTATCTTATCTCCAAAAGACGCCGTCAAAGTGAAATTATTATCGATCTGCTCTGCCCTGATTTACACGCCGTCTAACGAACATTTTGGCATTGTTCCACTCGAGGTAATACATAAAATAAACAATAATAAGTTCAATTTCATGTTTAGTCGACGCAATATAAATTTTAATAAAAATCTTCCAAACTTCTAGGCCATGTACATGGAGAAACCCGTCATCGCCGTGAATTCTGGTGGGCCGCGAGAAACTGTTCGCGACAATGAGACCGGATTCCTCTGTCCCGCAACGGAACCTCATTTCGCCGTTGCGATGGCCCGCATCATCAAAGAGCCACAACTTTCCGTTAAGATGGGAAAGGCCGGCAAGAAACATTTCATTCAGAATTTCTCCTTTGACGCCTTCTCCACGAGTTGGGAACGCATCGTGGCTGACCTCATCGGTTCAGCGGCACACCTACACACCGAGTGAAGAAGACTTTTTCAAACAACTAAAAAATAAGCAATACTTGACAGCTATCATGTCTCTTATCCCCACCACCACTTTTTTGAAGGATGGTGTACTTTAACAGCAACATAATTTATTTCGTTAATCCATAAATAACTACGTTCCAATGTTCCAATTATAATTTTTAATGCATTTTATGTTAAAATAAGTTTTAATCCGCTATGCAACATTTGCTACATTCCTCGAGTGTAATTTTACTCGTAGCAAAAATATTATGAAATCACTCATTCCCAATCTATCTAAATATCAGAGCTGTCAGTCAATATTTAGTAAATAATAAACCACTAAAGATTAAGTGTCCGTGCATTTCTTCATGCCGTGTTTAATGCAATGATGATGATGATGATATATATGCCATGATTTTATGCCATTCATTCCTCTCCTCTCAGCTTGCTACATATTTCCAGATTTATGTATGTATGCGCAATGATGTCAGCCAGTTATGTAAGCAAATAAAGTGAACACTCCTTCTTTTCCCAAAGTAATCGTCATATAGTATTAATAATTCATTACGCACGTTCAAATCATTCTCTAAACTAATACATTTACTCTTCATCATCTTGTTCTTTTAGTAAGGAATAAAATAACGAATAATCAACTTGTTGTTTTTTTTCACATGAACTCCTCATCACTCAGAGACGAGAGATGAACAACGATGTGGTTGGTGTACAGGCGGCGGAAGTAGTTTCTTCCCAAGCCATGCTCCCCCCACGACGGAAGAGGACGAAGATAACAAAACAAAGACCCAGCAGTGAGGAATCCAAATTTATGTATATTATTCGACACATCTTCTCTCTCTTCTCCTTGTCATTAAGGTGGTGGTGATATTTTTCTTAAAAATTGGACGAACAGAAGTCTAATTAGGTAGGTAGTAGTAGAGGTTGGTTGGTTGGTGAATAGTTGGTAGTATTACATTTTTTGTCTTGCTTTGTCTCAACAAAAATAGGTATAGGTAGGTTCATATCATTATTATACAGTGGTAATTAATACATAGCTATGAATTTAGGTAGGTAGTAGGTTGGTAGTAGGTACTACCGTCCGTAGGTGGTAAATATCTTAGACATTTCATATTGAAGTCACGTATCAAATACAAGTACACCAATTACATTTCTTCCTCCGTGTGTAACTTTCTTTACACTTTTTCGTAAGCAAAAATCTGGGCGAGAGAAAGTAGTTATTTAGAGGAAACACATTGACAAATGAACAAATCCCAACAAAAATTGCCCCTTCATTCTTCACACTAATTGGAAATGATGAACATGTAAGTAAATGGATCGAAATGAACTCTCTTTTTTTAGAAAATGAGGACGTTATTATTACCTCCTGGTCTGTCTGTGTGGATATATAGTGTTTTTTAAGTCCCTTTTTTATATCATTTCAATGATAACTTATTGTAAAGATGACGGCGGGTGTTTATTTTTTTACCGTTTAATTAACCAACTAATTATTATTATTATTATTATTACGATTACAAAACGGAGGCTGAGCGAAAGTAGTAAACGCAGCGCTACTGCCTGCTCACAGCTTTGTTTGTAATTTTTGTTGTTAACAACTAAATAAAAATATGTATGACCCACCAGGATGACAATAAAATATGTGTAAATAACGTCTACATAAATACATAATGATGATGATGACGACGACGAATGACTAAATATCAACTTTAGTAGTACCTCAGCTCAGAAGAAGACGTAAACGGACGATCTATAGAGAATCATTGCTTCTACTAAATACATATATATTCGTCCCCATCCATCCTCCCATTTTTGGATAATATTGCAAAACGGACATAAAAATGAGTTGCAATAGGTAGTATTTAGTAGTATGTATGATTATGCTCGTATTTTGATTGTACATAATAATAATAATAACAACAATATAATAATAATAATAATGATAATAATGTAACCATGATTATTAACAACTAATTAACAGTGTTCGCTATCATCATCACACTTAACCAGGATATATTTATGAATATGTAACATTAACAACCACAACAGTCACACGTCAAGCTCTAGAATGGGATTCGTAAAGTTATCATGACACCTATTTTCATTATCGTATCGCTACATTATTATTATTTTACGGTATTATTATTGATTTGTATTACATCCGTTAATTATAGTAATAATTAGCTAATTATGTATTTATATGTATGTATGAGAGAGGGAGGAAATGGTTTCAAAATAATTTAGGGAACTGGAAAGTTCAGTTGATTGTTCACTTGACATTCGCCGCTTTCTCTCTCTAAGCTTCCTTCTTTCTTTTACTTTCTCCTACCTGATCTCATCTCGATTTGAGTCATTTATCAATTACATGTCAATTAGTTGTAATAAGTTATTTTTGAAATAACTGCAAATTCTCTCCGCTTCTAACTATGAACCAACGTGTTGAAAACAGAGCATAAAACCACGCAAGCATCCATCCCAGTCACATGGCTGGAACTATTACATAGTTAGCGTCGTAGTAGGATTTTTTTCCTTTTAAAAACAACTTATTATCCTCGAACCTCTTCTTCTTAATACTTAATCATTAGCTCATTCTAAAAGACTGGATAGGATATTCTGTAGAGTCTGAATTTATCTGTGGGGGAATTATTATACATCCGTCATTTATGTACTGAATGTAAATATGCTCTTAAAAATTTGTATCTTGTTTGTCCCTCCCCCCACAACTAAAGGGATCCCTCTGCATCTTAATTAATTAGTAAACTCATCCGATCATCATCTCAAGAATGAAAGGGGTTAAATTGCTATTCGCTTATTCTTTTTTCTCTCTTAACGAGACGAAGCTCGACGGGAAAAAGTAACGTGGAGAGAGGGAGAGAGGAAGGACACCCGATTTCCACTTGGAGATGAGCACCTTAACGAAACTCAAGAGAGTACTTAATAATATTAATTAATTAATTAAAGTCTTCTAAATTATTTGGACTTTTCCTCCTTATCTTCTTCTCAACGGAAAAACTGTTGTTAGTAAAATTTTTAAATAAATTAAGCAAATTTTTCTCCATTTCTCAGACCTAGCGGCAGTACAGCAGTGTTTTTATATATATTTCCTAATAAATTTAGATACACACACAAAAAATAAATGCTATCATCACCTCGTTTTCACTTCATCTTTGGCCTCTGGGATCTCAAAATGGCAAAATAAAATAATTTTTTTTTCTTGGAACTGAAGTAATAAAATGGCTGAGTTATTAGTCTTTAATCGCTCCCCGTGATTGCGTGATTGATGATGAATCTTCTTGTTGTTGCTGCTGCGATTGAGGAGGAGGTTTTCTCTTACATGGATAAAATTACTACCTCTCGTTTCATTAGAAAGAAGGAAATACCATTACTTAAAAAAACTTATTATACAACAACGGCAACAACAAAGACACGCCACACAGACACACAAACACGCTGCTGGAGGAGGTAGTTGGAGGAGAGAGAAGAAAGGAAACACTCAATTGTACATGTTTTAATAATAGCAACGAATGACTCGACCATGTAATTGTTCCACTACTAAATATTAGGTAATTTATACGCAGAAGGAGGAGGACATGATCATCCAGATTATATAAAACTACACCGACCACGTGCAAAGTTCAGATTTACAGTTATTTTTCTTCTCTCCTTCCTTTTTAGTCGCTAGTTATTTCTTCATTTCTTCTTCGCGATGCATAAAGTGTTGACTTTAGCTTAAAAATGTCACGTAGTTGTATGAAGAGAGGTGGAGGAGGTGGTGGAGGAGGAGGAGGAGGGGTGGAACTTATTAGAAGTCGGCAAACTCCTTAGCACATCGTTCCGTAGATGAGATACGTAGCACTTCCTCTTCGTAATCGTCAAAGTTGCTCGTATCACCAGATCCTTTACATTTAGGGATGAACGGAGCCTCCACCTAAAAAAGTGAGAACGAATCCAATTAATAAAAATTCTTTCACATTTTCCATTTTCATCCGTACTCTTATTAATTAATAGTAGAACAAGGAGAACGACATGAAGCCAACATATTGCATATTGTCAACATATGACATAAATTACATATTATGGTATACATTATTATGTCCACATTTATATGTGCCAATCAACATGTGCGTGACTGGGTGAGGATTGACGGCCACATAATATTTATCATGGGTTGCAAAATACAACCGATTTTCCCCCTTGGACAAAAAGTATATATAAAAGGACAGAAAGACCGAGGAAATATATAGTCCCGTTTTTGCTCTCATTACATAGTACGACATGAAAAGGATGTAACACAACACAACCCAATTCGTGGTACGTTAAGGATAAGTGTATGTACATATGTCTGTGTGTGTGGGATGTCGAGTATATATGTATGTAACACACAATTAGCAACAAGAACAGTCACAACATTGCAAAAAAACGATTAAGTGGATGAAAAGCTGGTATACGGTTTTACATAATATTGGGCACTGCACTGTTTAAATGCCCAATTTTTCAAGCGACCCCTGGACGACTACTAATTGACGAAGCAAAAAATTCTTTGAGAAGATAATGTTAATTAATAAAACACTACCGAGATTGAATTGAGAGAGTTAGTAAAATATTGTGTGTGGTTGGTGTTAGAATTCCTCAAAATATTTCCCAAATGGGTCATCGACAGAAATGTTAAAAGTCTCCTCGTCATCGGGAACGGGTTCAAAGTAGCGGGAGTCCCCTGCGTGGCGGACATTGGGGCGGAGGGGGGCTTGATCCTGATGATTATATAGTCGAGAGATAATAACGAATCATTCCAGAAACGAAAAATTAAAAAGTGCATTATTTCAAAATAATCAACCAAACCAAAAAACTATTGATATTTAGGAAAGATTAATGTGCATACATTAATAAAAAAACAATTATGCAAAACTAGGAAAAAAGTAGATAAATAAAAATTTGTAATATAAATAATCTGCCAAAGTTTTGCCCTTGTCCATAAAATTTGAACCCTTATTTTCGACGTCTTAATTGCCAACATTTTACATATTAATTGAATCGCATTGTGTACCTTTTTCTGGAAAATGGCAATCCAGTCTGTTGTTGAAAACCACTTGTGGCTTTTGATATCATTGACGCCATTCTTCAAATTACCGTACCGCTTGGTCAAGTCAACCTGTACAAAGGACAAAGAATTATTAGTAAACATGACATGACATGGCACCAAGTAATTTTATGCTACACAAACCTGAAGAAGGTTTCTAAGAAGGTCTTTCAAATCGTTAGAAAAATGGGAGGGAAACCGAACTTTTCCTGACACAATTTTTTCATAAATTTGAATTGGCTGGTCGGCAAACTAAAAGAAATATAGGCCATTAGTTAATATGCTTCACATAATGTGCATACATATAATATTGGCAATATGGAAAACGTACAAATGGCGGATATCCTGCAGCCATTTCAAAGACAAGAACACCCAGCGCCCACCAATCCACAGCCTTGTTGTATCCTTTGGAAAGGATAATTTCAGGAGCGACTAGAATAATAAATAAAGTGAATTTTCAGACGATAGTTTCATAAAGGCTTTCCATATATTCTTAAGAGTTGCATGTCAACTTTAGGAAATTAATTCTTAAAGTTAATAATTATCTCTTAAATCTCAATCACGACTAAAAATCACTCACGATATTCTGGTGTTCCACATAACGTCCACGTTCGTCCTTTTACACGCTTCGCAAACCCAAAGTCTGTGACCTAATTAATATTTTGGAAGACACGATTAATTTTCCGACTTCAAAAGACTGCTCAACTATGAATCCATCCGTGCACTAACCTTAATATATCCTTGGCTGTCAATCAGTAAGTTTTCGGGTTTCAGGTCCCTGAAAATAATCAACGAGACATCATGAAATCGAAAATGGTATTTTCCACACATAATTTTCCCACAGGAGAAAGTTCCTCAACCAAGTAATGCACGGTGTCAGGACTCCTGAGTCAGGTTGCTCCAGGTGAGATCAAGTGGGGAAAGTGAGACTTGTCAATGACGTCGGCTCATTTCAGGTGAATCAAAATAAGGAATAAAATCGGGGTTAGGAAAACTTTTAAAATTGCTGTGTGATTTCAAATCACCACCCTTCTTTGGATGAAGAGGGTGGCTCATTATTTCAGTTTCTCGTTGGAACAAACAGCAAACGAGAAGGAAAGGGTGGGGCAGATTGGAACTCAATTTGTCAGAGGAACCCGTGACTATAAAACTGGACTATACTAAAGTCCAGAGTTGTGGGGGACATGTCCATTTGGATCGGTTTTAAAAAAGGCTGTATATTTAAACCAAAATTCGTTCTCTTCAAGACTTGAATCCAAACTGAATAGACTTAGAAATTAGGAACCTTTCTCCTACTTTATGCATCCCCTTCCTAGCACATTTATCGCTACAAGTACGAATCACATTACTAAACAACTCACCGGTAGATCAAATCAAGGTAGTGGAGATACTCAAATACCAAAACTATCTGGGCAGCATAAAACCGTGAGTGAGGTTCACTGTGGGGTAGCATTAGATATATATTTACATTTTATAAAAGGTCACACATCATAATAAAGCATATATAATTATTCAAATAAATAGTAAAGTAGTAGTAAACAGAGACAAATAGTACTACTCTACAGGACAAGTTCCATTCCAACATGCATCTACAGAGCACCATACATAATATGTCAGTCTTAAATAGAGGATAACCTCCCATTCTCATTAAAATGGCTGGGAAATAAAATAAGAGACCAATTCCATTCGATCTCATCTCGCACACATTCAAAGATTCGAGACAGATCGAGCCAGAGAGAAACTAATTACTTAAGAAGATAGACTTCTCCTTGGCGAAAAATATAATCAATTCTACTCGAAAACAACCACCACCACCTCCTCCTCGTATCCATCGTATCGTAACTAACTAACCAACCAACTAACTGACTAAATGTGCTTTTACTCTGGGTAAAGATAAGTAAGAAAGTGTCGTGCCGTGTTTTCCCCTCGTGTCTCCTGACTACTAAACAGTTGACGATGATGAACAGATGGTGGCGGATTTGGGAGTAAATCTCTCCAGCAGCTCGATCAACACATCTCTCCGCTCCTCCTGTCCTTTTCTGTCAACTGCTCCTTTCTCCGGGAGGCATTAGGCCAACAATTAATCCCTTTTTGACACATGGAGAAAGAGAGAAAAAACACTCTCGGACGACACTTAAAGTTGAATACGAGTCAAAAAAAGTGACAAAATAACAACCACCACACTACTCTACTTCTTTTTTCTGAAAAGGACATGTCAATTCGTTCAGTAAAAATCCGTTCCGTGTGAGGAAAGGTTTAAAGTTTTATTTTCTAAATTTGCTGTCTATCTATATGAACGGTTTAATTTCCCTCACTTGCGTCACAGCTTTTCCACCATCATCATCTCCTCACTGCTTGAAGTGGCTGTGTGTGTATGTAATAATGATTGTTGTTTCATTACATAACACTTTGGCACACAAAGGGTAAGTGAGTCATGAAATGAAATGTGGGAAGCCTTTGATGAGCCGAAAAATAATATCAAACTCGTCCTCGTCCTCGTCGTTGGTGAAAGTTGGTTTTCCTCTTTCGCTATTTATTGCCGACATACTTGCTCATTCGAGTGGGTGTGGCGGTAGGCATATTATCTGAAATTACGATACTGCTACTGCTGATATTTGGAAAAGTGGTGGAGGTGGAGGTGAAGAAGAAAAAAAAGTAAAAATAGCAGCAAATTTTTTCTTGTTGATTAAATATGTAACTTCAATAAATATTAGATACACGTGCAGCTCTAAAAATTGTGTCGGCGTGTCGACACAATTTCTGTTTTGTTAGTTATTATGTAGTATATACATTCAATTAGATAACTACGAAAGGAGAGAAAAAAGAGGCATGCAAAATAAATTAAATTATTTACAAAAGTGTTAGAAAAATTTTTAGAATCCGAAATCCATATGAAAAAATTGATAATTAATTAGGCGGAGGAGTAGTAATTAGTACAGCGAGAGCATGCTAAACTAAAAGTCTTTTTTAGTAGACGTTTAACTGTTCAGAAATGCCCTTGCTTACCTAAAACGACCCGTTTTCCTCAAATGGGAAAACATCTCCCCTGTAAAACGATTAAAGAACAATTATGTTTTAGTAATAGTTCAATGACCTCTTTTCATTGAACTATTACTATATCTCACCTCCGGGGATATACTCTAGTACCATGTATAAATTGGAATTGTCCTGTAAACACGCAAAAACACAACAGTTTAGTATAAAGATGATCAGCAATCACCTAAATCGGCCCAGTTTCCGCAGATGGGAAAACATTTCGCCACCATTTACGTACTCCATCAGCATGTACAAGTTTGTCGTGTCCTACAATTAAAGGAGTGTCTGGTTTAAAAAAATTAGTTGTTTCGTAGTAAACCACGACCACCACCCTGGAAACGGGAACGGCGAGGAAAACTTCCCATAAGTTTTTCTCATAAGTCAGCAAAGTACTAAAGATAAAAATTAGCATATACGAGAAATACCTCACCCCACGCGGAGGAGGAGGCGAAGGAGACGACCTACCTTAAAATGATACTTTAGGGTAACCAAGAACGGGAAGTTGATTGCATGGAGAATCTTTTTCTCGTTTAGCGTGTGCTCCACCTGCTTCAGCTTGACGACTTTCTGCTTATCCAGGATCTTCATGGCGTAATATTCCTTCGTCGACTTGTGCTGGACGAGCATTACGCGGCCGAAGGAGCCCGTCCCGAGGGTTTTCAACCGGTCGAAATCGTCCAGCGTGGCTGTACACTGAGAAAAACAAAAAGAAACGGCAAGAAAATAAATAATACGTCATATTTTATTCATAGAAACCACACATGTCGTCATCCATCACTCTGCAAATCAGTCATCCGATGATGATCACTGGTTAACTCACCGGTTGGGGATTTCTCCATTTCTCTTCAAACTCCTCCTTCGCCTTCTCCAACCACTCTCGAACTGCAAAAATAAACCAGGCAGGATTAGTCTCGGAAGTTTAAAGGGCGACGGAGTCACACAATCCTAAAAAAATCTTGTTTTTTAATAAGCGCTCTTTTTTCTTCTCATTTATTAATCTGCACAAAGCACACGGAAAACGACATGGAAAAAGTAAAAAAGAGAAAGTATAAACTAGAGTTTACAAAACAAGACACAGATTATTAGTACCCACATAAATCGGCAAGCGTGAAGAACGGGACACACTTAAAACTAAAACTACCCCATAAAACGTGGCTAGAAAACGATTACAATTTTATTCATGCCATTTTCTCTACACCTTCACCTTCACTGAATGGTAGCGAACCGGCGGAGGCAGCGGCATTGTGATGGTCACTAGTTTCCTCAGTCTCAGATATCTCCTCGGACATTTTTATCCCGTTTTTTTTAAATAAAAATATATATCAACGAGTATAGTTAGCTATATTTTATTTTATCTTATTTAAGTTTTTTTATCCTCGTAAATACATATATATTTACGACCAAGTATATATTTCCGAAAAGTGAATCTCACACACCACTATTCACCACTATCACGACCACTGTCACCACGACCAACCCATGACGATGACGATGTTCCTGTTCCCCGTCTCGTGAACAAGTACAATCGCTTCCCCTTCGTCTCCACTATTTAAAACGACACGATTAAACTAATCGACGCGATAGTAGTCGCGAAAATGGTCGACGGCGTTACTTTCCCTCACTGCAAATTGAACAGGTGGGTAAATGTGGACTACTTTTGAGCAACTTTTCTCCCGAGGAGAGATGACGTTGATGACGATGATGATCACTCACCCACAAAGTTGTGTATGATTAGTTAGATACATGTATGGGGAGCAGTACGTATTCATTCACCGACCAAGATTGTATTGGTTCTTACTTGTGGAATAAAAGAAAACGAAAAAACAGAACAACCCGAGAATATGGTGGGAGTATGTTGAGGATCGGATTGGAGGAGAAGATTCAATTCGGAAATCCCTGCCAATTGAAATATGGATGGATTGGATATAATCACATGTTTTGCGACACGATGCGAGAGAGAAAGTCAAGTCAAACAGAGGGAAAAAGCCAAAGGTAAAACACGACTCGTTCCTCCATGTAATGTTTATATTTATTATGTTGTTGTGTACTTGTCACTCTTGTCGATCCATCTCTTCCACCACTTTTTTTCCCTTTCCTTCCTTCCTTCCTCACAATCAGTCAGTCGGTCGTTGGTGATTTCTCGCTCAATTTTTTCTCTTGGTGGAGATGTCGAATAATATTTACAGGGGAAAAATCTCAAATCCTACGCCAAACCTACACTAATATTAAGTCGTCGTTATTTTCTTTTTTTGAGGAGGCAACAACAAGGACACAACTCCTACCGACCGACGACTTGGTTGGACCAAGTGCTGCAACTAAATCAGGTTAAATATTCAAATATTGTGAACATGCATGTGAACATGTTCCCTCAACAGCCGCGTATGCATGTACGCAGACATACATACCTTGACTTGATTCTCTTCTTAATATTATTGAGGCTGTTCTGCAATATTTTGGATTGCAATTGAAATGGAACAGACACATTTGTTCTCGCGAGAGGAGAGAGAGAGAGGATGATAAGGATATAGGAACATTTGCATGTGCGGCTTCTTCTCCTGCTGGCTAGATTGGACGACCATCATCATCACGATTCTTTCAAGTCTCCTCGCGATCTAATTTTAAAACTTTACATGTCGTACTTATCTATATATACTGCTCACTTACTTACTTTACTTACTTATACTATGTCGCTCTGCTGTAAATAAGTATAGTTTTTTTTCCTGAGTGCCGGTTAGCTCTTCTGATCTCTCTCTTTCACCATCCACCCGCCGTTCGTCGTCACATTAAATGAAATCGTACCACAACATAATAGTAATAATAATAAAAATAATAACCGCGTCCTCCTCCTCGTCGTCGACGACGACATCGTCATCTTTTATACGTATCGTGTCTAGTTGACACACAAAGTTTTAAGTTTAACTTTAGCTCTCGAGCGGGTTTTACCTTAGCGAAAAAAAAGAAGAACTCGTTTGAGAGAGCGAGAGATCCGTTTTGAATTGTGACCTCACAGCTGAAGTAAAAAAAATTCCAATCCAATCTCTTTCTACTCCCTGCCCACCCAGTGAGCAAATAACATTTCGAACCAACAATGGAAATGCAAACAATTATGAAACCAATTCGAGGAGATTATTGTGGTGGAAAATTCCCCACGGACGGACCGGGTTTCAATGGGAGGAGGAGGAGGAGGAAAAAATGAGACGACATCGATCCGACCATCACGAGAAATAGAAGAGGCAGAGGATACGAGTAGGGAAAAGTTTGCGAAAACGGACACCATTTCGCAAAATATGGCTGGAGTCGGGGGAGGAGGAAAATTGCAACATTAATTTTCATACCGTGAGTTTAATCCACTCTGAATTTTCACTCGTGTAATATTGCATCCATTTGGAGCCCTTGTTTCCATATTTTGATACATTTCATGTCGTGAAAGTCATTATGTACACAATGCACGAGACTACTTACCACGACCACGACTACCACTACCACCACTGGAGAGAAAGTAATATTGACAAATGATCCAAATTTGTGACGCGTGCTGGCGTATTTCACTCGGTATCTGCCTTGCTAATAAATAAGCTACTACTACTCTCCTACTACCACTCGTGTACAGAGTACATAGTAGCGACATATACACATGTAGCTTATGCAGATCAGAGGGTAATATGCACAAGAGTGGGAGAGAAGTGGCCGTATTATCTACGACAAAGTACAGACTTTATATTTAGATTTCCATCAAAAGATACGTCAACTCCATCCAACAAAACCTCCTCCCTCAATTTCCCATCTCGATAGGGAACGCGCACAGGCCACGTGGACCCATCTGTATACACCTCCATTTGTGGGTGGGTGACTTTGTCGACTAGGACCAAGTCGTCTCTGTTCGCCTGTGCCCTTGAGGTCTCTCTCTCTGGTACTTGAGCGTCTGTACCTCTCTCTCTCTGGAGGACCACATATGGCGACTACTTGACTTTGCGTAATCATAATCATAATACGTAGCGTAATGTTGAGTGAGCGAGCGAGCGCATATGTGTGTACATACAATTGGGGTACTCTACCTGGCAGAAATTTCCGTGGGACTACTACTAAACCCACCAGGAGGACTTTTCCTCTTCAAAAAAGATATTGACGTTGGTAATAGAACGGTTCACTTGAACTGAGCCTGGAAGCAGCGGTGCATGCATGGCCAAACTCATCGAGAGTGGTGGAAGAAGAGGAGGAGGAGGAGGACAAGACTGACATTTCAAGTCGTGGTGGTGCTGGTGATGAGGACTACGTGTCAACTGAATGCTGGAAAAGTAGGTGTGGTCTCTCCGACAGAAAGGACTCATTTAATATACAGAATTCACAATTAGAACAAAAGCACACATGTAGAGTTGCACACTCCACAAGACCACCACCTTCACCACAACACCTGCCTGGCATCATTTCCTCTCAAGAGACTTGTTATGTTCTTCCCTGAATGCACACACGGCGTCTCCATACATTCATGCATCCATCCATCCAGTCGGGACCACGTCGAGTTGAGGAATATTGAATATTCTGGAGAAAGAAGTCCCAAATATCTCCATGGGATGAGATGACAATCAATATTTCAAAACATCCTTTCTCCTCTCTTCATCCTCCTCTCGTGGTGGTGGTGGTGGTCGTGGTGGGTTACAAGTGGATGTCGTGGTAAAATTGAAACGATCTTTCCACACACTTTACCTTCCACGACTTTCTCCACACGGCAGAAACCACCAGGACGACCACCACCATCACCACCAGGATGAAAGCCCTCTCTCTGGCACGTACCTCAAAAGGAGACGGGCACACGGGCCGACAACACGAGGTCAAATTTAAATAAAATCCTGCCAAACAAGGTATTTACATGGATGATGAGGAGAAAGTCCCACGCCGCGACTTGATCATAATAATGTCCATCATCCACTCCACCAGCGAACCTCAAAGGTGGCTTGATTAAAGGAGCGAATAAGAGAGAGGCAAAACAGCTAATAAATAAACGTGGGAGATGAATCAAAATTTTCTCTCTCGGGGTAAATATACATATACGACAGGAAAATGAAAACCATGATGACGATGCTTCTGCGCCCGGCAGTTCACTTTCAGCTTTAGAGGTCCATTATGAATCTGTATCGAGCAGACATCATTTTTAAGGTGGTGGGGCTGCTACTGCTGGTGCTACATACATATCATCATCCTGACTCTCTCTCTCAAAGTATATCCGAATTTCCATTCTCCTCTCCTTTGAACTCGAGCCAATAACAATTCTGCTGCAGAGACCTCACTGTAAAAGCCTCGACTTGTTTCTCTCTTCGAAATAAATGCCTCTCTCTCTCTCTCAGGGAAGGTTATTATTATTCTAATAAAACCTATGTACAAGCTGCTCCCTCCTATTACCTGACTAAAAGTAACGCCAAGCCGCCTAAATTTCCCAATCTTCCCTACGTTTTTCCTTACGTAAGGCTGCTGCAACTAAGTATGTAGCTACTCCTGGGGCGTGATTGGAGTGTAGTGAGTGCCAAAATCAAAGGGACGCGAGATGACATGGAGATGATGATGATGCTGATGATGATGAGATGACGGGCTTGTATAATACATAACTAACGGCTCGTATTTATACATTCTAACCCGACCCTCCTCCTCTGCCTCTCGTCCAGTCCAGCAGCCTGGGCAGATGAAAATGCTAAGAAAAACCAACCCTGTTGCCTACTTTCTCCTTTGACTCAGCAGCAGGACTCTGATAAAATTGTTATTTTGGGTGGTGCAAGAGATACAACTTTCTCTCTCTCTCTTTGACCCATCAACGATGTACTTGATGCCATCCAACCAGCCAGCAAGGTTTGCTCAGAGGAGAGAAATCTCTTTGATTCGTGAGAGCAATT